ATTATCAGTTATATCAATTCTTCAACTTACAACCATAACTGAAAATGAATGCCAAATCAACATATGAACAACCATCAACCCCACCCAAATACAATAAACACAAAAATGAAAACAAAAACAGAAGACACTCCATTCTGTTTTTTTCAAAAATTCAGAACTAAATTATCATCGGTTATTTTACACAAAACTCCATTAATACCCCAAATAGAGACAAACTCTTCAATGTTGGACACCATCTTGTAATAAACAAACTCTACTTTCAAACGTGCACCTACTACCCCTTTAAACATAATTCCTAAATTAACAGATCCTGTTCCCTTCATTTTGTTCCTCCTTGTGAGCCATATACTCATCTTAGCATGACCTATTAAAAAAATAATCAAGCAAACCTTCCTACGCTGCAGTGCAGAGTACCACGGACCCAGGATAAAGAGACCCTCCTCTAAAACACTCCTAAGGCCAGCAAGCCACTGCCGCAGCAATGAAAAAAGGCCAGCTAGCCTGGGACAGCCAAGCCACAGGTGCTGCAGTGTTTCCTCAGTTAGAAAAGACAGTGGTTCCCTGTTCGTGGATCCATATGTGCCACATGCCTGTTCGCAGCCATGGCTCCATGCACTATTCTCCACTGGAGATCCGGACTGTGTTTCTCTATGGGAGGTTTGTACAGGGACCTCCAGCTGCCCCTTGGAGATGACCCCAGAGCCAACACACCTGACCACCTCGACTCCAGAACACCAGCCAACAATCTGTTCAGCACCTTTACAGTAGAGCAGGGCGATATGGCCAAAAATATTTATCACGATATATATTTGAAAATTTGCGATAACGATATAACTGACGATATAATTGATGCGAGACAAAATACAACTCCACAACATTACTAGCGCAAAAACCCAACCTTCCATTTATTTTCACTTAAACAAGAAGCTGGTTTTTATGTACATTAAAGCTTTATAAAAATGTAACAGTGCAAATGCAAATTCCTTGCTGAAAGTTTAACCAAAAGGCATTTCCAGTAGAAATGGGCTGACATATCCTGAGCATAACCATGTATAATATCCACTGAAGTTAAAAAGAGGTGCTTTGCAACATTAAACTGCAGTGTGCAGTACGTATTTTTCGGACCATAAGGTGCACGGGATTATAAGGCACATTAAGCGAAACAAAGCAGTCAGATAAATCAAACTTTATTAAACTCATTCTTCTTGCTTCCTCCACTTCTGTACCATTGATTCATTAATGTTGAATTCTCTGGCAGCTGCTCTATTCCCATGTTGTTGCAGTATATTAATGACTAACCTCGTATTGTGGATGGATTATCTCAGTTGTTCTCCTGACTGAAGTTTGGTCCGTTTACAGCATCCTGCCATGCGATTGCATTTGTCTCTAACCATGAGGAACCTTCACGTTAACTTTTATAAGTGGAAAAGTGTTAGTGTTCGTCCTCCAGCTTCACTGTTTATGTTATGCTAACATAGCTGTGTCGCTAGCGATCACGTAGCACATCATTATATACCAGCTAGCCCAACTTCAGTAACCCTACAAACGTCACTGCTGTTTAGTTTCCTGTCTTCATTTATGTTGGAAGTGATAGCAGAGCTGTACGTTTGATTTTTTTCAGAAATCTCTCAGTCAGAACATGCAATATCATGCTTAGGTAACTAGCGAAACTAGCGAGCTAACTTCCGCTAGCTTCCTGCTAACTTCTAACTCCGTTAAATGTAATACATTTTGTTTTCATGGATGCCTGGAAGTTAAACTTCATAGTTACACCTGGTAAAGCAGCAATGCTGATCGTTTTATTAAAGATGAAAGAATTTAGACAGTTTTTAACTCTCAGTGCAGTGTTCGTTTGACCTGAAGAGGGGGGTTTAGGACCCAGATTACTCCCAGATTTAAGAGCATCTTAGTCCGACAAATACGACAATAACGACGGCCGCTTGCATGTTCTGCAAAAAAAATGTGCTTTGTCGTGTATCTGACGGACAAACACCAAACCAGTTCCACATCACTGAAGTTGCACCATTTTTACAAACCAATTCTGGTTCATCTGTTTCACTCAACAATCGGCCATGTGCGTATGAAAACAAAGGCACTGCGCATGCGCGTTTTACTTACATTCTATCGCGATATTTCATTTTCCTATCATTGCCTAACATTATACCGGTATTACCGTGAACGGTATAATATGGCCCAGCCCTACTTTACAGCCACCTCATATATAGCCTTCTGTGAAATCTTTGACAGGTCACCCAGAACAGGTGTTCGAAAGGAAAGTAGAGAGCCTCCCTCCTCATCCTGCTCCCCAACTGCAGCACAAACAGGCAACGACAGAAAGTCAGCTGAACTCGGTTGACCACCTGCAGAGTCCCCAGCGCAGCCCTTACAAGTCCCGGAAGACCACCCATGACTTCTTCCACCAGCTTGTCCAGAAAGCGCAGAGATCTGATTCCAGTCTCCTGAGCCAGCTTGGCAGCCGTTTTCCACTGCCCTGCCATCCTGAGGCCCGCCAGCTTAGTTAGACCAGCATTTACGAGGAACCTCTGCACACTAGTAGTGCTGATCATCCTACTTGGCATCAGGGGATTGTAAAAAAAAAGAGGCTCTTCACCAACATCACCATAAAATTGAGAACAGTCTCTCTGTACTTTAAAAACATTCTTCCAAGCAGTCAAAACAGACTGGTAAAAAACAGAGGTCTGCGAAAGGTCTATCCCAGTTACGTCTATAAGAAACAGGTGCTTGTCATATGCAAGGTCCTTTATTCAGTGAAGCAGCATAGATGTAGTCTTGAACCAGAGTGGTTATTGCTTTCGATAAAGATACTGCTATGCTGTCTGAAGACGGAACGCTGTGATGCAGCTGCGAAGGTCAATCAAACCCTGACCCCCCCCCCCGACACAGGTAGAGACAGAACAGCAGACCTGGTCCAGTGAAGCCCTCCCCAAAAGAAATCTCGCTCATATAAATTTTACTGTGCTTCCTGCTTCTTCAAAGGTCAAACCTGAGAGTCCCTGTCTAAGATGGTGCAAAAGGGGTTCAATGGCCAGCGTATACAACATACCAGAAAGGGGGCACCCCTGCCTCTCTGAACTGGAACAGGCCGACTTAACCCTCCCCCCACCTTTAACATGACAGCAGCATTTGAGTACAACAGTTTGATCCATGAAATGAAAATGTTTCCAAACCCTAAAGCTTCTAAAGTTTTAAACAGATAACGGTGATCAACTCTATCAAAAGCTTTTTCTTGATCCAGAGATAAAAACCCCACATCCAAGTCTCTGAGCTTGGCCAGATCAATAATGTCTCGAATTAAAAACAAGTTGTGCATTATAGTCCTTTCAAGGACACAGTATGCTTGATCCAAATCTACAATCATGTCGATACAGGTCTTCAACCTATTGGAAAGACATTTTGCAATAATCTTATAGTCCGTACAAAGCAAAGAAACTGGTCTCCAATTTTTAAGCAGGCCCAGGTCCCCTTTCTTTGGCAGTAAAGTCAAAACTGCCCTTGTGCAACTTGCTGGCAAGATCCCAGTGGTCATACAGTGTGTTAAAACCTCATGTATGTCCTCTCCTAGCAGCGACCAGAATTTCTGATAAAATGCCGCAGGAAGACCATCAACTCCTGATGACCGACCACAGTTGAGTTGTTGAACCGCTGAAGACATCTCATCAAAAGAGATAGCAGACTCCAACACAGCCGATTCAGCCACATCCAGCCGTGGCAGCGCCTCCAGCATCTTCATCACACAGTCAGGGTCACACATTTCAGCACTAAAGAGGCTGGCATAAAAGTAAATAGCAAGCTTCCTCATTTCTGCTGGGTCAGATGTTACCTTCCCATTTGGAAGCATTAAGTGCATCATTTGGTGTGACTCACGAATCCTTTTCTCCAGCTTGAAGAAAAATCTGGTTGGGGTATCAATTTCTTTAATAGTAGAAATCCGAGTTCTTATAAGAGCACCTTTTGCTCTTTAGTGGAGAAACTTGCCTAAAGCCTTCCTCCTACTGTCCCAGGTACTATTTGAATCATCTGTCCCACTTATAATCTTATCCTCTAGCATCTTGAGCTCTCGTTCTAAATCCTCAAAGCAGTCTTTAACAGTGGCCATTGCATGTGACGTGTACTGTTGACAAAAAAGCGTAATCTGCGTTTTCCCCACCTCCCACCATTGAGCCAAATTGCAAAAGTCAGTTTTCCTTTGTTTCCAGTGGCACCAGGAAGAGCATTTATGGCCAACATCACCACACTCAAAGCACTTCATCCTACGTGCACAATGTAGCTTGCCATCGCCAGTGTGTGAATGTGTGTGTGAATGGGTGAATGACTGAATGTAGTGTGAAGCGCTTTGGGGTCCTTAGGGACTAGAAAAGCGCTATACAAATGCAGGCCATTTACCATTTTACCATTTACTTGCATAAACAGTATATAAGCTGTTTTCATATCTCACTTTAAACGACACTGCCAGTGTCTGTGAAGGATCGTTTAGATACATGAAGGCCTGCCTTCGTAGAGACTGAACGTGCTGCAGTCTGGCATCTTTGCAGCCAAGGCAAACAACCCTGAACCCGCTAGCAAACTTTCCAAAGCGGGTCAGTTCCTTTTCAAGCAGTTCATTTGGGATGAATGGCTGGACACCGGACACAGTGACCTTCGTAGATGGCACAAACAGTGGCGAAACGGCCACAAACAAATCATCCAAAATGATCCCCCTTTCAACTAACAGGTGAACCAAGCGCTCCTCACAGAGAAAAGCAACCACAGCCTTGTTCATCCAAGAGCCATAAGTTGTGTTCTCATGGCCCCCCTGTTCACCAACAGCTAGCAAAACCTGCTCCACGGTGTACTGTTGGGGTGCCACCACCCTGGCCCCATGTCTAACAGACAGGGGAGGCGAACCCTCACTAGGGAGGGACGCCATGACTCAAGGTAAAACTGGCCAATTAACTAAAATTCTTCACTTCACACAACACAATGAAATAAACGTGCCTTACCTGTTAACCACCCATAAAGCCCAAAGTTTTCTGGAAAAAAACAGTCCAAATGTCCCAAACTCACTCAGCAGCTCCACGCACTCACCAAACACCTTCACACACCCATTCACTCACACTCCCAGCATGCAGTGCAGGAAGAAGAGAAGAGAAGAGAAGAGAAGAGAAGAGGTTTGTGGTTTCCATGTGGCAATTTAAACCCAGGCGCCTGCTCTGCACATGGAACCAATTTGAAATGTGAAACTATAGGGACTCCTTGAAAGAAGGATGACTGCCAATCAGATGATAGAAAAACAAGTATGTAAATGCCAACCAAGCTCTTTTCAAATTTTGTATCAAAATATATCAGGTTACACTGTGTTTTCTGGTCCTGTATATCTCGTCTCAGAGAGTTTCAGGCTGTGTGCATCTTTTTTCCTTTCAAAGGTTACATTTGCTGTGACTGTAACTTACAGGAGAGATTAATGGCAGTTATATGGTTGGATTATCTGTCTGTTAAGAAGCTTAATCAAAAACTTATTGATAGATTTCCATCAAAATTTTACCAGAGGTGGGCCAAACTGACACAGGAGCTGGATCTAAGAATCTAAGGATTCTGTGAGATACGGCAAAAACAAACATACCAAACTAATATAAGTACAAGAAGCACAAACCACCATTAAGGCAGCTCACTCTCTGGGCAGTATTTACTTTTAAGGGTATAGTATTGTATTTTATATATATTCATTTTTTTTTCACATAAATATACTTTTAAAAGTTTATCGTGAAGTGAAAACAAGTGTTTTATTCTGTTAAAACCTATTTTAATATACCTGACAATTTTGCCCATATTTTTTATATTTTTATTTATTTATGTGTATATGGCACATGTGTAGCATTCATTTTACTGTTAGGTAAAATCTGTTCACATGTTTAGTAATAAATATCAAATGAAAAACATTTCCTCACCACAAGTTTATTTTTAAAATACATTTTTATGTATGGCGAATTCCCTGTCTTTTGCTTTGCTCTACAGTATCTTTTACAGAATACAATTTTATAAAATACAACTTGAGATTAAAGAAATGTGAAAGTTTGTAAAAACTAGGCTCACTTCTAATGACTACAACATACATTTTGACAAAAGATTAAAGGTAGGTTGTTGCTTCCAGCTGTTCTGAGAAGTCTTCTCTTAATTTATTGAAAACCTGCTGCGTCACAAAGGCAGAATCCATCCAAAAAGTAGCACATCAGTAGTAAGTGATGATAAATTAACCCCAATGTGGGGACAAGATCAATAAGGAGCTAATGACATTGTAAACTTTATGTTTGAGAAGTAAGCTGTCACGCAAAGTCACAGTTTATCACCTCAGTAGTTAATTTGTATACATGAATTCTCTCTAATTATCTAAGTAGCTGCACAAATATTGCTGCCTTGTTAAGAGCATTCAAAGAGACTGCACTTCTCAGTGGTCATGAATTACGGTCAATGAGAAATGCACGTGTGCAAGGCCAACAGCACCATCTGCACCAGGTTTCCTCCATTAGTCACCCAGAAATTTAAAACAGCTTGTGCTGAGAGAAAAACATAGCAGAAGAGACAGACCACAAAAGAAAGCAGAAGAAAGAGCACTCTTGAAGAGTCACCCAACAATGTCCTTGTTTTCGGTTTTAAAATAAATAAATAAAACGCAGATGCATTTCAGTTAAAACACCATAGTGTAACAATTTCAGTTGTGCATATAATTTATCTATATGCTGGTGTGTACTCATTTCCAAATTCCTTTTTATCAGCGCAAAACTGCAGTTTTAGATGGTTTCACACTGAACCAAGACCATGCACAAAATATAAACTGGCAATTAAATGAAAGAAAAAACATCTGCAGCTGAAACCAACACACAGCAGAGTGTGTTTAAGGCAGAATTACAACAACTGGGGCTGAGAAAGGAAGGGAGCAGCCGACAGCAGTAATCACACACATGCATGAGGACCTGCTTAGCTGTCTGTTGTGTATGTGGTCTTTAAATATACACACTTCCATTACACTACTTTTACATGGCAGTGTCCTTATTATTTATACTTATTATTTATAGAGTGGGGAGCTCTGCTCACTAAGATTCCATTTTACAATGGAGACTGGTGCTCTGCAATGTACAAACAGTCCACATTTAGGACCTACAACTATATTTTTTCCACTACTAGCTATAAACTCATTTTACATATGAAATATGTGGTCGACTGTACTATGCACTCTCTGAAACAGACTCGTGGATCTGCCTACTCAGCACTTGGCTGAAAACTTTCAAAGTGCTCCGTCTTGTCTCAGACTGCAAGGCTGAAGGGGAAACTGCAGGAAGACAAAAGAAGACTCTCACCATGGTGCGTGTCGCTGGTCGAGCGCATTACCCTTATCTCATTTATCACACAGACATCCCCTTTGACTGGAGGTTGCTGAATCTCCACACAAGCATGAGACAGCCGGTGGTCCTGAAGTTGCAACGGCCACGGGCCAGTCGGACAACGAAATTTCTAGTCTGAAAACTGCTTGCTTTGCTAACTAAAAACTGTGTTTGCTTCTAATATGTCATTTTCCAGAAGTTACATAACCAGGTCCTTAATTTTGTATCTGCAAAGTTCAAAAAATGAGTGTACGGGGTGTCGCGAGCGCCGTTCTCTCTCCCAGGGGAACGCGCAGCTGCTACGCGAGCGTCTGGGAAATGACTTTTCAAAGTAAAAGCCGTGGTGTTTAAGGAGGGGCTGCCTGCTCAGTGTGAAATTTGAGATTATTTCTCCCTGAAAACATAACAACGCGTCTCCGAACCGGCAGACAGCTTAAGGCAGATATAGGAACAAGAAAGGAAGAAGGCAGACTACAATCCCCTGTAACTGCAACAAGAACTGTGACCAGGAACTTGACTGTTACAAAACAAAGCAAGCATGATAACGGCTATGGCTCAATAGGGTTGAGTAAAAGAGTAAAAAACGCTATATAAATACCACTCCGTTTACCATTTCTATAATTTTTCTTTAAAATTATTAATATTTTAATCTCTAGACATGAAAATTATGAACAGTCTTACATGCTGGTGATCCTCTTTGTGTGCCACTAACGCTACGCCAGCTCGTGAGATCTAAAGTCTGTATTACAAAGCAAGACTGCTATCCCTGTGTAGCAGAGAGTACCAGAGCCACAAATTAATGTTCCTGGTACTGTTCAAGGTGTACCCTGCCTCTCTTATAGTAGCACCTTTGATAGGCCTTGAATTGGATACATGGTTAAGAGGATGCATGATTGTAGGTATTAATGGATAGATGTTCCTTGCCTGCAACACTTTTTAAGTAGGTGGCAAATTATCGACCATGTGAATACTGAATACAGGGTTTCCCAAACGTGTATTGCCAAGATAATCATACTCCTTCCACCAGTTTGCCTTCTTTGTGTATGCTGGTGCACACATCACATACACATGTACCCAGCAGTAACGCAGTAAATATAGAATCAGAATCAGAATACTTTATTGATCCCTGGGGGAAATTATTTTTTGTTACAGTGCTCCATTATAAACCAACATTAAGACAAGACAGACTAATACACTAACAAATAAGAATAGTACAATATATACATATATATACATACATAAGTCACTCATAAATAAATAGCTGGAAAAGAAACATGTGTAGTTGTAGCAGTAACCAGTGTGTTAAGTGGATGCGTTGTACAGGGAGATGGCCACAGGCAGGAAAGATTTCCTGTGTCGTTCAGTGGTGCTTTTCGGTAATCTCAGTCTCTCACTGAACGTGCTCCTGTGACTGACCAGCATGTCATGGAGTGGGTGGGAGGTGTTATCCAACATTGTCTTTATCTTGGACAGCATCCGCCTCTCCGACACCACCTTGAGGGAGTCCAGCTCCATCCCCACAACATTGCTGGCCTTACGGATTAGTTTATTGAGTCTGTTGGCATCTGCGACCCTCAGCCTGCTCCCCCAGCATGCAACAGCATAGAGGATCGCACTGGCCACAACAGACTCGTAGAAAATCCTCAGCATTTTCTGGCAGATGTTGAAGGACCTCAGTCGCCTCAAAAAATAGAGACGACTCTGGCCCTTCCTGTAAAGTGCTGTGGTGTTTTTAGCCCAGTCCAGTTTATTGTCAATGTGTACTCCAAGGTATTTATAGTCCTCCACAATGTCAACACTGACCCCCTGGATTGAAACAGGGGTCAAGTGTTTCCTGGTCTTCCTGAAGTCCACGATCAGTTCCTTGGTCTTTGCCACGTTGAGCTGCAGATGATTCTGCTCACACCACGTGACAAAGGAGTCGACCACAGCCCGGTACTCTGTCTCATCATCCCTGCTGATGCATCCAACCACCGCAGAGTCATCAGAAAACTTCTGAAGATGGCAGGTCTCTGTGCAGTGGCTGAAGTCTGTGGTGTAGAGGGTGAAGAGGAAGGGGGAGAGGACAGTCCCCTGTGGTGCCCCTGTGTTGCTGATCACCTTGTCAGACACACACTGTGGGAGACGTACATATTGTGGTCTTCCTGTCAGGTAATCAACAATCCAGGACACCAGAGAAGCATCCACCTGCATCGCTGCTAACTTATCACCCAGGAGGGTCGGCCTGATGGTGTTGAAAGCACTGGAAAAGTCAAAAAACATGACCCTCACAGTGCTCGCCGGCTGGTCCAGATGGGTGTAGACACGATTGAGCAGGTAGATGATGGCGTCCTCAGTTCCGAGACGAGGCTGATAAGCGAACTGAAGGGGATCCAGATGTGGTCTTACATGGGTCGCAGCTGGTCCAGGATGAGCCTTTCCAGGGTCTTCATGATGTGGGAGGTCAGTGCCACGGGCCTGTAATCCTGGGGGCCACCGGGACGTGGCGTCTTTGGTACAGGGACGAGGCATGATGTCTTCCACATCACTGGGACCCTCTGCAGACTCAGACTCAGCAGGCTATAGGCTATAGCAAGATCCCTTACTCCCCATCATGTCTGTAATGGACTGAGTAGGTTTGTTGTTTTATGTTTCAAAGTGCTATGTGTTACTCTTTGTTAATATTTAAAATGTTTATAGTTTTTTTTTTTTAGCTATTAGTAAGGTATTACAAAATGTTGACGAGTGGTGTAAAGGATAGGTGTTTGTGAAGGTACTGATACTGAAAAATGATCAATAACTTTGTGACTGCATATTTGAGGAATGAGAGGGCACAAAGTTTAACCTTGAAAGAGTTTCTATCAGGGGGCAGGGGTGTAATTTCGAGGGGGGGGGGGGGGGGTAGAGGAGGTTATGACCCAAGATATCTTGCTTTTCCAAAAAAGACTTCAACTGAATATAATGAACAATCTTTTGGAAAAGTAACGACAGCTTAGAGATAGGCCTAAAATTAGCTAACACAGTTTGATCAAGATCAGATCTCTTAATTGAACGTTGCACAACTGCAGTTTTTAAGTTTCCAGGGACTACACCAGAAGACTGACTACTATTAATGATGGCAAAAACTGACTGTCCTATACTGGGAAAAACCTCTTTAAAAATTAAGGAGGAACAGCATCATGCAGAGGACCTGAGGGCTTAATGTGATGAACCACATCCTCTAAGAACACAGAGACACAGGCTCAAACTGGTTAAAAACAGCAGAACAAGGGACCGAGGCTTAGAGGTCAAAAACAGGGGTTGAAATGAGAGCCCTGGTGGTGACAACCTTATCAATAAAAAAAAGGGAGGTT